TGCAATTAGCAAAAGAAGAAGAATATATACAAAAACGAATTCAACAACAACGTAATGGTTCATATTCGGAAACAAAAAATAAAACATTTTTTGAACATATATTACCAACTGCAACAGTTCAACCAACACCATCGAATTTTCAATTGTCGAGTCAACAGCCCTCTACATCACGTCATTACTACAAACAACAACATCAACAGCTACCATCATTAACAAATAATCGAACACACTCAAAACCAAATAAGTTTACAAATCGTCAACAACATCGAGAAAATTATCCAGAAAATAAAATTCAAAAATCCAATCCATGTTTAATTTGCAACAAAAACAATCATGCAACAATAAAATGTTTTTATAAGAAGAACAACGGCTGTTTTAAATGTGGACAATCAAATCATCAAATACGTGATTGTCCTCAACAACATTTTTTCGAATAAAGGGATCGGATGATGGCGACGATCCCTGTGGAGCAAAACAGTCATCAACCACAACAGCATTTAATCCCATTTTTGTCAAAATTTTATGCAACAACACTCCACAAACAGCACTTATCGATACCGGATCGGCCATCACTATTATACATCAACAACTATTAAATGATATACCACATGAAAAATTAATACCAAAAACAATAAATCATATATCTGCAAATTGCTCAACATTAGATATTGTTGGTGAAATACCTTTAGAAATAAATGTTAATGGAATAACAACAACAATTATTGCTGATGTTACAACCAATCTGGTTACGAATTTAATATTAGGTAGTGATTGGATTCAATCAAACAACGTTTATATTCTTACACCTGAACAACGAATTATGATCCGAAGTCGAGGTAAAAAAGTATCAACTCCTTTTGTAAAACCACCTCTTTTAAATTATCCAGTTACTCTTATTAATCATATTACTCTCCCTCCTTTTTCAGAAAAAATAGTAGAAGCACAAGTTCAACATAACAATATGATAGATGTATTATTTGAACCAAATCCTCGATTAAAAAATAAAGCATTATTTACTGCAACTGCATTACTGAACATTGAAAATAGACGAATAAAAATTAGTATAATTAATGCAACGAATCGACAACAAACACTTTCCGAAGGAACCAAATTAGGTATAGTGACACAATTATCTTCTACAATTGGTGTTACCATACCATCAAATTATTTGATAGAACGCATTCCGGAAGGAAAAGCGTGTAAAGAGCTCATTCCTGAAGGGAAAGGAGCGAATAAATCAAATAAATTAAATGGTAACAACATACCAACTATACCATCACATGGAAAACAACATCAATGTCGTAAATGTTATCAACATTTTGATACTAGCAATGAATTATTCAAGCATCTTAGAAATCAATGTTATCCTGACGAAATAAGACAGCAAATAAATAAATTAACTGAACACATTAGCGATGATAAACAACGAGAACAAATTTTACAAATTTTATGGAAATATGGAAAATTATTTGACATTAGTGAACCATCAAAAATTGATATAATTTTAAAAAATGCTATTGATACTGGTCCACACCGTCCTGTTCATACTCCACCATATAGAAAATCAAACAAAGATCAAGAAACCTTAAGAAAAGAAACAGATAAATTATTAAAAAATGGAGTTATTGAACATTCAACATCACCATGGTCTTCACCTGTCGTTTTAGTAAAAAAGAAAGATGGAACAACAAGATTTTGCGTCGATTATCGTCGTTTAAACCAAATTACAACAAAAGATGCTTTTCCTCTACCAAGAATTGATGATATTTACGACCAATTAACAAAAGCAACATATTTTACAAAATTTGATTTTAAAGCTGGATATTTTCAAGTACCATTAGACAAATTAGATCGACCAAAAACAGCATTTTCAACTCGAGATGGACATTTTCAATTTAAAGTATTACCACAAGGTCTTACTAATGGACCACCAACATTTCAACGTATTGTTAATCAAATATTAGGTCCAAACAGATGGAAACATGTACTCGCCTATATCGATGATATTATTATTTATTCACAAAATTTTAATGAACATTTAAAACATATCGAAGAAGTATGTTTATTATTACAAGAAGCCAATTTTAAATTAAATGTTGACAAATGCGAAGTTGCAAGAGCAGAAATATTATTTCTTGGACATTTAATTAAAGCAGGTACTATTAAACCTGATCCAGACAACATCCGTGGTTTGACCGAAACACGTGAACCAACATCAGCTGAAGAAGCATTTAGATTCGTCAAAGCAGCAGAATATTACCGAAAATTTATTCCAAAATTTTCCACCATCGCTGCACCATTACATAAATATTCTCCAGCAACAGTACAACAACAGAAGAATAACAAAAAATTAAAATTTGAATTATCTGCTGAAGCTAGAACAGCATTCCACCAACTTAAGAAAATCTTAACAACTGATCTTATTCTTGATTTACCTGATGATACATTATTATTTAAATTACAAACTGATGCTTCTGTAGATGGAATTGGTGCTGTTCTATTACAAATTACTTCCAATGGTGATCGACCATTAGCATATATGTCAAAGAAATTAACAAGAACACAAATTAATTGGCCAACAATTGAACAAGAATGTTATGCAATAGTACAAGCAATAGAAAAATGGGACAAATATCTTCGTGGACATGAATTTATATTAGAAACTGACCATGAACCATTAATTCATTTTGCAAACAAAGAACAATTAAATAAAAGATGTGAACGATGGCGATTAAAATTAGCTGAATATCGATTTAAGGTGAAACATATTCAAGGCAAGAAAAACCATATGGCAGATTATCTTTCAAGATCACCAGTCGAAGTAGCTGAAGAAGATATTGAAGAACGAACTCAATATGAATCAACATCAACACAAACAGATTTATCATTTTCATCATTAAATAATAATTTAACTCCATTAAAAATGACAACAGCAATTACTAGAGCCCAAGCCAAATTACAACAACAAGCAATGGCAACACCATCTATTAAACTGCCAGATGGAAAAATTAATGAGCTCATCCCACAAGGGAAAGCAGCGACTGATGAAGAACTGATAATCAAACCATCAGATGAAAATCCAAATAAGATCATCCCATTTGATATGGATGACTTAAGAAAATGTCAAGAAGAAGATAAAACAATTCAAGAAATAAAAAAGAATATTAAGAATAAAAAACATTATTTTATTGAAGATGGAATATTATTTAAAAAACAACAACTACCACTTCTATCTGTACCATATGTTCCAGCAGGACGAATACGTGGTGATATATTAAAAATTTATCATGATACACCTGCTAATGGAGCTCATTTTGGACGTGACAAAACAATAAGAAAAATTCAAGAACGTTATTATTGGCCAACAATGATAGCAGATATTAGAAATCATTTAGATTCATGTTTACCATGTGCACAAAATAATTATCGTCGTCAAAAATTACCAGGAAAATTAAAACCAATACCACCACCAGAAGGAATATGGAAATTATTAAGTATGGATTTTCATGGTCCAATTACTCCAACATCAAAAATAGGAAACAGATACATCATATCTCTTACAGATGTTTTATCAAAATTTGTTATTACAAGGGCGGTTCGAGATTGTTCAGCAGCAACAGCAGCTAAATTTCTTATTAATGATGTTATATTAAAATATGGTGCTCCAACATGTATTTTAACTGATAATGGTACTCATTTTACTTCTCAAATTATGAACAAATTATTTGACAATCTTGGAGTTACTCATCTTTATTCGACCGTATATCATCCACAGACAAATGGACAAATTGAACGATTCAATGCAACTATGGATGGAAAAATTGCTGCTTTATGTAATGAACGACGTACAGACTGGGATGAAGTATTACAATTTGTTACATTTAATTATAATACATCAATACATGCAACAACAAAACAAACACCATTCGAAATGATGCATGGAAGACAAGTTACACTTCCATTTGATCAACAAAAAGAAATTATTTCGCTCACACAAGATCCAGAGCACAGTCAAAAAATTAGAATATATCTCGAAAAATTAGTAAATGAAGCTCGAAACAATATTATAAAAAATCAACAACAATATAAAGCTCGATATGATTTACATAGACAAGATTTATTATTAAAAGTCAATGATCTAGTTTTAGTAGAAACAAGAAATGTTAGAAATAAATTTGATATACGATATGAAGGTCCATTTAAAATTATTAAACAATTAGGACATAAAACATTCATTGTTCAACACGTAAAGAAATTAACATTAACAAGACAAGTAACAATGGATGTTATCGTTCCTTTGGTGGAACGATGGAATTTAATTTAATAACACACATCCTCAAACAAAAGGGGAAAGATGTGGTATATGATAATATAAATAGTAAAGTATATGCAACAATAGCAAAATTCAAAAAAAAAAAGAAAAAAAAAATATATATATATATATATATATATAATAAATATTATTATTAATTAAATTAATTAAAAAATGATTGAGTCGGATTCAGCAGTCCATGTCGGGGAGACAGAATTTCACCTTCTCACTGACAAGGAGGGGCTGTCTAACTCAAAAATTAAATTTAATTGATTTTACTTTATGTATTTGTATGCATATTAGTCATCACATACATATATTATACACGATGACTCATCCACCAATCACAATGCATTATAATCGAGGCACTTTTACAGTGTTGGCGCCATACTGTACAGTACGAACGATAATGCACGTGTTCCGGTTGGACGACTTTACTATTATCTGAACATTAACATGATATATATATTGACCACATCAAAAGGAAAGAAAAATTTTATATATGGATAACAATAGCACCGTCTGATATATACAAAGGAAAGAAAAATTGACCTTATAGACGATGACCTTAGTGAAGAAATATTTTATTACGACATTAAATTATAAATTACGCATTTTCATTTTAGTTATACATCATTTGATCTTTTCGATACGCAAAGTAAACATACAATTATTTCAGTGATTTACTATGTCTGGCTTAACAAGAAAGTCGTCTGATCCACCACGGTACTTCTATGACTTAAATCCAGAACAACAAAAAAATTGGATGAAAACTACTCGTCGAATGGAAAAAAATGAACAACTACGAGCTGAATATCCACCTTTTCATTCACCATCAAATTTTACAGTTCTTCATCTTCACCATTATTCATCAATCGAAACAATCGAAGAATTAATAAGGATGGCGAAAACAACACATATATATACAATCGACACAGAATCACAAGTAATAAACAAGGTAGCAAAAGGTGCCCTCGTACAAATCCAGTTCGTTCATTCAATTCATGAATCAACATTAGTATTAATTGAAATGTTTTACTTACCAAATCAAGATTCATTGTTATTCAAGAAAATCAAGGAACTGTGTTCAATCATATTACATGATGAAAATACAAAAATTACCTGGGGATCATTCAAAAATGAATTTAAAAATTTTTATTCATATGGATTATTTGAAAAAGGTAAGATTAAAAATGCAATAAATTTACAGGATCGTTTTAGTGACTGGTACAATAAATCTGCAAGTATCACGCATCCCGTAAGGGAAAGTCGTGAAAAGCAAACCAGCTGGTCCTTACAAGATGCAATTAAAATAGCTTTTCAACAATTTCTGGACAAAAATGAAACAGTTAACAAGTGGCGTTGTGGACTGGACTTCAAACTCAGCACATGGAAAAGAAAATTGTTTAGTAAAAATCATTACAATGCAAATGAAGAAAAAGAAAAACGTATTACAATGATACAATATGCTGTTGCCGACTGCACCGCCGTCACCAAACTTTATTTTATGATATATCCATCAGACTCAGGCATTCAAACAAGTTATGAAACACCAACACCAACGACAGCATCAACAAATATGACATTAAATATTAATGATTTATCCGACATTAGTGAAGAAGAAGAACCTAAAATATTAATGCCATATTTCGTTAAACCAACTCAAACATTAATACCAAAATTCAACGAACAAAATTATTTAACAATTGAAACAACTGAAGAAGAAATGAACGAATTTAATGTGCAAGAACAACAACAAGCACAAGAACAAACAACAATAACAAAATTATCAAAATCTGAAAAACAAAGAAAGAAAAATCTGAAATTAAAATGGAAACAAAAATATCATCCCAATTTTCAACACAAAATAAAAAGGCCCATTTACTACCGATATGATTACCAAAAAGTTAGGGCTCAATTAAAAGATGATGATATTTATACAAGCCATCAATTGAACATTAATCGACATAAAAAAGAAGTTTTAATTGGTTTTAAATCTGAAACTGAACAAGAACAAGCAAGAATTAAAATGCCAATTAATTACTTCTCCAAAAAACAATATGAACAACGTTGGGGTTAAATAAACAAAAAAAA